AAAAAGTGAGTTTCTAGCGTGTGTCACGTTCTCCTACTGGTAAATCCTGCCTGGCGGATCAATCGATCGTCACAAGCAGGATAGTTACTCTGTTGTCGCTTGATGATTCGGGCACACCAATCACATCGCTCAGGCGTGAACACGTTCGTCTGTTCAGGCGTGAAAATTCCGATGCGTGCGTCCAACGCGTGTTCGTGGAGTAGTGGTTACACGCTTTTATCGCGCGTCAGATATCCGGGTTTTAAATTCCGGCACGGTCATTGGAGATGCACTGATTGGGAGCTCTAATAAGTGCCTTTTATTTTTGTGCGAACTGACCGGAATAATTACGCCAGAACATTAGAACGACCGTTCGGACGAGAGTGGTGTGACTATGAACAAAATACCTACCCTATAAAACCCCAAAACTGCTATCATTGATACCCTGATGTTTTATAATTTGCCTGGAGAGACTATCAGGAGACTACGCCATTAGCACAGTGAACGTCGTTCGAGCTTACTCTATGTATTACGTTTCAAGTTTATCCGAAAGGCTTTAACATATTGATGCACGCAGTTGGTTGAGAAATAAGTCAACGTGACGATGATTAAATATGCTATTATTATGGCTGAAATTCAATGAGGTCACTCAGAGATATAGTATCATTGCCTATTGTCACCGTTTGATTTCATTCCCTCCCGTATGAGAAGCTGCGCTCAAGAGGCCACGGATTGTGTGATACCGCGATGCGAGTTCCCGAGTCATTGACGTTCATGGCCAAATAGGTTGATGGCCTGCCGCTGAGTTGGCGGTTGCGAGTTTAAATCATACTGTCCAAGGTAAAAAATAATCAAACGAACATGAAACATTTAAACAACAATTCATAGCCGTTTTTCTTCCACGACCAGGTATGAGAAACGTATTCTACAACAATTAAAGAATTTGCTGTCCGCGATTCCGCAATTGAATCCTAATCTAAACCATTCACATATTAAATGAAACTATTTAAAAGCATTTGGATTGCATGTGGTACGTAGCTTTAAATTTCAAGGCTCCTCTAGCCTGTGGGGGATGAAATCAAAACACATTTATGTTAAGTTTGACAAACAAAAATGTTTTTGTTTAAGCGGTCCCTCTCTTTCTCTGGCGTGACTGATCTGCTTAGCCCTTACTGGAGATGACACGTCGGAAAAATCACACAAGTGCTCGGATACTACTTGCAGCATGATCTTAGAAAGCAGTGAGTTTTAGACAATAAGCGCAGTTTCAATACTTTGACGGGTGAAGACCCAGATAAATTATCGTGACCAAAGGGTTAGCTTGTACGTTATAAAGAAGGATACCATTCCTCATTGACGCTACGGCCAGTATGTGCAGAAAGGTAATATTACGTCAAAAAGGTTTTTTCACCGTACTACACGGCTACCACAGATTTAATTCTGAAGAAATTCGAAGAAACTTTTTCTCGATTTTCTGTGACAACTGAGGGGATGATTCGTTCTATCAAAGTTCACCATTGGTTAAAATGGACTCCGTGAACGTCCTGCTGTAAATGACAGCCGCCGATTTATCAAGAGCTTTCAGGGTAACGTAGCTTATTTTCAAAACGAGGAGTTCTTCATTCTGAGTAAGCGATGGAAGAAACATCATCAGCTGCAAACACTGTAAGGTGCGGGAAAGTGTACAGTAACCCTTGTCATTGAAAA